GCCGGGCGCTGCGCGGCGGCGGTGTGTGCGCGGGCGGGGCGGGGGAGCGGCGGCGGCGGCGGTGGGATAAGAGCAGGACCGCGCGCCCTGACGTAACCCCTTATGTAACGGCGGGGGGTGACCCGCCCCCACCAGCCCCCTCCCACCACCCCGCGAGGGCGGGATGCCCCGGGGTGGGTCGCGGGGAGCCGTGCACCGGCGGTAGCCATGCGGTGCAGAGAGTCCGGTGCACCGGGAGGGGCTGTGTGTGATGCCGTTATGAGAGTGATGCCCCGAGACGCGGTGCACCGGGAGGGGCTGTGTGTGATGCCGTTATGAGAGCGATGCCCCGAGACGCGGTGCGCCGGTGGTAGCTCAGTGCACCGGGAACGGGGGCGGTGCGCAAGGTGGAGGTGATCCCCCGGCGGGGAGGTGATTCYCCGGGGAGGGGGTGGTGCCCCAGGACCCAATAAATTCCCGGGACCCAATAGATTCCCGGGATACAATAAATCTGCGAGCTCCGTTACGCCGGCAGTTGCCGCGCGGTGCTGAACGTTCGGCGCACTGGCCCTGTGCAGCCGCCCTGGGAAAGGCGGACACGCGGCTCTGGGTCGGTTTCACAGCTCCGGTAGCGTTCGGGGTCTCTCCCGGGCGCCGCGCGCACCCCGAGAGTGACGGTCCAAGACCGCTCTCGGGGATCACCAGGGAGTTTCTTGCTTAAAGTTCCCCGAGAAAAGTGGCGGCTGTCCCGGGAGGCATCGCCCCGCTGCCCTGCGAGCCGGGACTGAGGGTTTTTGGGGCACCCCAGGCTGGTGTGGGGCTGCGGGGCACCCACCGGGTGTCCGTGTGGCGGGACGTGCACTGGCCATCAAGAGCGACCGCCCTACGCCGGGACTCGGAGAGGCGGCGGGGTCGGGGTCGGGGACCGCGGGGCCTCAGTGTGTCGCCCCGGGATGGCCGTGTCCCCGCGGGGCTGGCCGGGCGGCATTTCTCCTGCCAGCAGGTGGGGTGAATCACAGAGRTCCCTGTCTAATGCACGGTCCCCAAATTGCTCTTCACCCCCCGGGCCGTGGGCTTCACGAGTATCCGTCCACTCGGGGCTGCCCGGGGATCTCATCCCGGTCCTGGCGCTGCTTGTGGCTGGCAGCCACCCGGGCTCGGGGCTTTGCACTCCGCATTCTCGCTCCCCGTGGATTTGGGGAGGGAATGGCAATCCAACCTCGCCACAGCTACTTTTCAAGCCACCCGTCCCGCTTTTCCCTGCCCTCCGCGCGGTGCCGTTGGCAGCGGGCACTGCGGCCAGTAAAAAGCGGCGTTTGCAGAGCCGGTTCATGGAGGACCTCTCAAAATTCCCTGTTTTCTTGACCCACTGCTAAGCCATGTGCCGCTGCCATCACGCAGTCCCAGCACCTCCCGGCTGCGTCACTCAGGGAAGGGACKGCGACCCCCGGAGCCACCGGAGCCCCGCGGTGTCACAGCGCTGGCCACAGCTCCTGCAAGCAGTTTGACCTCAATTTGTTTTTAAATGCAGCCACTTCGCCCCCGGGGGGCTGCGGGGGCCGTGCCGCAGCCCCGTGTCCCCGGTGCCGCTCCGGCAGCCTGGAGCCGCGGGGACGGTGGCAGCGGCGTGACTGGCCGTGTTTACGTGAGCGCCCGCTTCTTTTAGCGCCGTCGAGTGGCACTTGTGCCGCCTGCCCACGCAGGGAGGTCACCGTGTGCCCGCTTGGGCAGCGCCCCCTGCTCCGGTGCTCCCTTTGCCGGTGCAATCGCCGGAGGTTCGCTCCGGTGCGGTCACGTTCAATCAGAGCTTGCACAGCTCCCGCRGGCGGTTTGGAGTGGACCCCCGGACTTCGCCCACGCGGCGTTTCTCCCCAGATCTCACAAAATGCGTTTGAACACCTCCCCTTTCCTGTGTACGGTAGGGCCGGGCAGGAATGCAAACGAGAAACGTTTTAGGAGTTTCTGGAAAAGCCCTCTTCCTGAAAAGGGATAAAGCTGACCGTGCTGGAGGTTCCCCTCCGTAGTGGCCGCCTTCCTGGGGATGCTCCSGCCGGCAGCTCTGGGTCGCTGTCCCTCTGCTTGGGGACAGCCCCRGCGGCTGGCAGAGCTTGTCCCACCTGCAAGGACGAGTTACCCCATCCCGGAATGGGGAGCCCTGTCTGGTCCTGGGGGGAGTCCTTCGGGAGGGAGGGGGCTGGGAACGCAGGGACAGAGTGGCAGCGCCGTGTGACGTGAGCTGGCATTAACTCCCACCTGCTTCCGCGGGTGCCTGGCACGCTCGGCCCCCTCCTCGCCGAACGCGCCTTTCACTCATGCAGTTAAGAAAAGTTAACTTTTCTATTACCGCACATTTCACTTACCCAGGTACTTAATTACCATTGTCCCAGGGAAATGTCAGTGTGACTCAGAGACACTTTCCCATTAGGAAGAGACAGATGAATATTAAGTAGAGTTGCTGGTGGGTGGGCTGGCTCCCAGCTCCTCTCCCGGGGGACCCTGTCACACCCCACAGCCCACCCCCAACGCCCTGGACCCATGGAGGACCCCCTTACCCAGCTCAGAATATCTGTGGTACTTGGCTCTGGGGACAGGAGTAACTCGACCCGCAGCACAGGGAAGGAACCTTATTCCAAACGAGTTGTGCCTCTGCGTCTTTGGGGTTTGCTCGATCTCTTAACACCTCTCCCTTGTGTGCAATTACCCTGTGCGGGGAGGAGGCTGCACCCCAGGCCGCTGGGTGCATATATACATATATACATATTTATATAAAAATAATGGGTTCGTTGCAGAAATGCTCCACCCCACCGCGTCTGTGGTGCTGGCACGGCCRTCAGCAGCAAGGGTTAACCTGCCCGAGGGCTGCCCGAGTCCCGAGCCCAGGGTGTTGTGGTCGTTTGCAGCTGCGTTCTGTTTTTCTCAGCTTTGTTCTGTGCCTGCAAAGCCCAGCACACCTCGGCAGTGCGAGGGGGGTGCGTGACTTCCCCCTGCCCCGGCGAGGACTCAGCTCCATCCCCCTTTTCTCCAGCACCAGGGATGGGTTCCTCCGCTGGCCCTGAAGGGGATGCAGGATGCTCTGCCCTTGTCCCCCACCCCATGCCCTGCTCCCTTGGTCCCTCTGTGCTGGCACAGCCCCAGCCTAGGTGAGTTAAAATCAGCCACCAAATAAAAACAGTGGCGTCCCACCCACTTCTCAGGGAGTGAACGTGGATGCCAATGGAGCTGACCRGCACCCCTGACCGGCACCCCTGACAGGCACAGGCTGCCGTGRCTGCTGGGTGCCCAGCAGAGGGTCCCAGCCTTGTCCATGGCCCCCACTTCCCCCACTAGTGCTGGGGGGGCTKAGCAAGGGGGCACCAGGTCCAGCAGCTGGTGTTCGAGCTGGGAGAATGGTAGGTTGCCGGGATACATCCCTCTTGAGCTCCGATAAAAATAGCTCCTTCTTCAAGGCAAGAGGACTGGCTGCGCTGCCGGCGGCTCAGGGGATGTGTCTGTGCCCACCAGCGTGTGGGGGCCGGGGCAGGATGTCCTGTGGGGTCTGCACCTCGGACCCTGGTCCCACTCCTCTGTCSTGACATGGTGCAGTGGGACAGTGGTGCATGGGCTCGGGGGGTACTTGTCATTGCCACAGTGCTGTTCTCTCTCACCCCCAAATCAGACTTGGGAATGTGTGAGRGCAGGAATCAGGGCTGAGTGGGGAAAGTGGGGGTGTCTTTGTCCCCACACCTAGCTCCCCCTGCCCCTTTGGCTCATCTCTGGGTTTGCCATCATGAGGAGGAGATTCAGGGAGATGTGGGCTTGGGGGGAAGCCCAGTGGTCTGAATCCTGAGAGTTTCCATAGAAAAGCTTTTTCACCTGACACAGCCARGCTGGGTGGGTTGGGACATCCCTTTCCCAGGGCATGAAGACCCTCTCTCCCTTCCCTGCAGCTTTGGAKGGGCTCACTTCTCTCTCGGGCACCTCCACAAGGACAGTGCCTCTCCCCAACCTGAGGAGCAAGGTGGGGGGARGTCAGGGCTTCACCTTCCCTCCCCGCCCCTATCCTTTTTGGGCAGGATTTGGATTTGGTGTCCAGGGAAATTCACACAGCCAAACCCTTCTGGCACGCAGCTGTGTGGGAAGACAGRCAGACTCCATCCCGCTCCCCTGCCACTTTCCTTGTTTGGGACACGCATTTCAGCCCCRAGGACCAAGGCTGGGCACGACGTAAGTCCCCGAGTGATGCATCCGCAGCGGTGGGATGTGCACCCCAGTCCCCGGAGCAGCCGGGGGGCTGCGGGGAGGCCTCGGCGGTGCGGGCGAGCCTGCTCGGGAGGTGGCGGGGATGCTGCGGGGCTGATTATTCACAGCTTCCCTCGCCCCGATTGGCTCTGCTGCCGCGCACAGCCGGGCCCCGCCGCAGGAGGAGACTCCGTGGCCATAAAAGCGGGGTGGGAGCCAGCGGGCAGCGAGTCCGGTGGACAATCCGGGCAGCATCTTGGAGCCACCCGCCAGTGTGGCTTTGCCACCGATGACTGGCTCAGCCTGATGCGCATAGAGGGACACCCATCACCTACAACCCGTCCTGACTTGGCGAAGCGGGTGCTCGGCGGGACGGGGAGCAGCGGCAGGTAGGGCTGCTGGGGTTGTCATCCCCTTCCATTGTGTGGGCACAGCCAGGGATTCGCTCTCGCTCCCCAAAAAGCGACTGTTTAAAAAACACCCCCTGAGCCGCAGTGCTGAGAGCGGCTCGTGGYTGGATTTGTGTTATTTTGGGGGGCTCCCACCTGGCTGCAGGTCCCTCTCGTCCCTTGAACAGTTTCATAGCCCATGAACGGCTCTCCAGAGCTCTGCTGGGGTTTTTGTGCTGATGCCATGCCTGCCATCCTGACAAAAGGATCACCCAGGGCTTGGAGGGGCAAAGGGAGTGGGCAGAGAGGATGGGGAGGGGGGATTTCTCTCCCCCTTCTTGGCTCAAGCAGCAGTGGTGGCTGCAGTGCTGAGTTTTGAGTGATTCTATTCCAAAAGTTACCACCTTTTTTGAGAAGCCTTGTCCTGACGGTGTTTCCAGGAAATTTTTAGAGGTGAGGAAATCAGCTGCTGGAAGGTCGCTTATTCTTCTCCACCAGAAAAACGTGCAGGATCTAGACCTGTGGAGCTGGACTTGTGTGGGAGGAGGGATCTGCTCAGTCTGGGAGAGCTGCTCACGTCCTTCATTARATATAATCATAGGTTAATCAAGATGGGGTCAGCTCTGCTGTCCAGCACACACAGTCCTGATTCCCATCCCTCCTCGGGTCATCAGGTCTGTAACTGGCCCCTGGGGTGCATGGATGCAGCTTGGGGGTTTTCCAAAGCAAAGCCTGGTCTTTGAAGTCTCAGGTGGAAATGGGACGGGGAGGAGGGGACATCGGTAGGCACCCAGCACATGTAGAATGTGCTGAGAGTGTCACAGAGACGGGAACTCAATGCTGGCATTGCCAGACCCTGCCACGATCCTTCCGAGGTGTTCCTGCAGGAGGGATGACTCCGTAGCCTTGAGCTCCTCCAGGTAACGCAGGATTGAGCTCAAACTCYGCTTTTCTTTCTCCCTTTGTGTTCTTTCCGCTTTTTCCTCCCCGCTGCTTCTTTCCTTTTTTTGTCCAAAGCCCTTTGTTTTSTCCCCTTTTTCCTGCTCCCGTTTTYCCAGTCCTCCTCATCCCCAGCCCCAGGAACAGGCAGAGCACTGCCGGGACATTTGTGACCCCACCTGGACACGGTACATTTGAGGTGTCTCAAGCTGTCCTTGGCCACGCTGTGCTCGGAGAACTGCAGCTCCCCAGTGCCATGAAATCCTCCGTCTGCAGGAGGGTGACAGGGATGGGACACACGGTGCTCAGAATGCCAGAGCTCTGAACTGTGCCGTGTCAGACAAACTGGCAGCTTGTTCCCAGCACGGGAACATTCCCGGTGCGGTCCCTGTGCGCTGCTCTGGCGGCACCCGCGGGGATACCGGCAGCAGAGGAGCACGGCAGGGCCAAGGGAGGGGAAGGGAGTGGGAAAAGGAGGGGGAAAGGTTCCCGGTGGAGCTGCTGAGAAGCAGCCRTCAGTTCTTCTTGGGAGCTTCCTTCCCCCCAGTGCTGCAGCTGGCACCTACCTGTGCAGCTGGCGTGTCCTCGCTCCTCGGTGGTGTCTCGGTGGCCCGAGGCAATCAGGGACTGTCCTGGTGTCTCAGCGGCGAGGGCTGGCTGAGGTCCCACCGTGCCCCTGCCGTCCTGGGCAGCTGCCACTCTGGTCCCTGCCGTGCTGCCAGGGCACCGGGGGGGATGCACGGAGCTGGTGGCCGTGCAGCCGAGGAATGCAGACAGCTCAGCACACGATGGTGCAGATAATTCAAATTAAATTTTAATCTAGCATGAATTAATACTGTGGCATTAACATTTCTTCATCAGTACCAATTACAGTACATTAGCAGCTACTGCTGGAGAACACAATAGTCTCTAATATGCGTCATTAATGTGTAACAGATCCCTCTGGGTCATGCCTTCCCACCCTAGATAAAAGCAGCAACAGAGGCAGGCAGGAGCTCACAGCCAGTGCACCCCTTTGGGGCTGGCTCTTTTTCCGGGGCTATCATGGTCCTGGTGGCACTGTGATCCTGTGGCACTGTGATCCTGTGGCACTGGCCCCTCCAGCCTCTGGGTCTTGCCCCTCCAACTCGGGGTCTGGCTGAGCACTGCCACCTGCAGAGCCCCTCTCCCAGCTGAGCACAGTGTCCTCATCTGCAGAGGCCAGAGGCTCCATCACGGCTCCCTAACGGCTGGAGGATGGTGCTCGTGGTTTGCAGGTAGGCTTGAACACAAAATCCACTTTCCCACCCTCTCCTGATGCACCAGCCCAGCAGACTTGGTAGGTGGGAGGGAAGGGAGATGAGGCTGCACTGGTGTGGGCTACAGCAGCCTGGGATGAGCCCACAGTGGGCCATGGCATCACCCCATCCACCTCCYACCACAGCTCTGTTTGCTGTGGTTCTTTTCCCCAAGGCCAAGGGGAAGAGTTGGTGATTCATCCCCCTGCGCCACGCAGACAATCACAATATAGCGGAGAAACTCAATGCCAGGGAGAAAAGGGACTTTTCTTTCTAATGGTATGGTAAGAGAAATKGAGATGATAGATGGAATGGAATCAGGATGAGATGGGCTGCGATGGTGTCCTGCCCACAGTGACTTGGTGGCCCCCAGGGACTGGGTATGGTTCAGGGCTTGCACCAAGGACAGGCTGCAGGCAGGGTAAGGGATCCCATCCCGTGGTGTCCTTGCCAGGAGCASCAGCCAGAGGTGAGTCCCATGGGAACGGGCACAGGTCCCTGTCCATGTCCACAGGAGCAGCTCACAGGTGGAGGTGTGGGTGCCCAGTGCCTGTGGAGTGGTGATGGGGCCCCCAGAGCTGGCACAGGGTCAGTGACRGGCTCTGTGCTGTCTCCCCCTCTCCAGGCAGCGTCTGCAGGGCGAGATGGCAAGGTGGGCACTGGCACTGGCACTCTGCCTGTCCCTGTCCGTGGTGGCATCTGCTGACTGTGTCACCCAGTGCTCCCTCTGCGCAGCCCAGACCCGCGGTGCCGAGAGCAGTGTCCAGCCCCTGGTGAGTGCCAGCCCCGCAGGGACATGAGCCAGGGGGCCACAGCAGTGGAGTGTCACGAGGGCACGGTGGCAAAGCTGGGTGGTAGCTGGTGTGGTGGTCATGGGCACCCCAGGGTGCTGGGGATGAACAAACTTCAGCTTCTCAGTGATCTGAGCAGCACGGTGGGCACAGACCCCTGGGCTTGGGAGGGGAACACCCCCAGGGTGGGGAGGGAGGAAGGCAGGGGGTCACCCCAAGCACCTGGGGCCACTGTGGCYGCTGTCTTGCAGATGTGCCTGTGGGAATGCCAGGGCTCCATGCCACCCGGCCCCGAGTGGGAGATGTGCAGGAAGGCGCTGACGCTCCTGGCCCCGCTGGTGGCCCTGGCYGAAGGGACAGAGCCGTCCCCACGGGAGGCAGAGGAGGATGAGGCGGAGCCGGAGCAGGACCCGGGCCCTGCRGAGCTGCCGCTGGCGCCGGCCAAGCGCTACGGGGGCTTCATGAAGATGATGTCCAAGGCGAAGCTGCTGTCCCTGCTCCGCGAGAACGCTCACAGCAAGGGCGGCCTCAGCAAGAAATTCGGGAGCTTCAGCCGCAAGCCGGGGGAGCGAGCGGCTCCCGAGGACTACCCGGGGCCGGCAGGTGACGGCGACGAGGAGCCCACGGGGGCCACGGGCGAGGGGCAGGAGCTGCACAAGCGCTACGGCGGCTTCATGCGGCGCATCCGGCCCAAGCTCAAGTGGGACAATCAGAAGCGCTACGGGGGCTTCCTGCGGCGGCAGTTCAAGGTGATCACTCGGTCGGACGAGGACCCCAGCGCCTACTCAGGGGAGGTCTCGGACCTATAGAGCCAGGCGTGGGGTGGCAGCGCCACGGTCCCCGCGCTGCCATCGCCCCCAGCCCTGTCCCCTGCCCAGCCCGGTGCGGCTGCTGTCACCCCTGCCTCATTCCCCCAGGGGACCGTGGGTCCCATCCCCAGCTGTCCCTCTCTGGTTCAGCTGCCCATCCTGTGCAAGGAGGGGACAGTGCCACCTCTCCGGCTGCCGGCGGTGTGGCTGCGGCCCAGCCCAGGATTCCCAGGGGTGGATTGCTGGGGACACACACAGATCCTCCATCCTCCCGTGGCTGCCAAAGCACAGCAGGGTGCGGAAACCACCGCAGCTGAGGTACAGGGCAGTGAGCACTRGGGAGAATGAGCCAGGGCAGGATCAGGGAGGGGCTCCCGTGGCCATGGGCAGAGGTGGCTGGTGGAACCACAGCACCATCACCAGGTGCTCAAGCGGTGCTGAGCCCAGTCCCCTCTCCCCTCCCCGAGCCTCTCACAGTGTCCCACTAATCCCAAAACTYACCTGGTGCCCCTGGGTTCCCCCTCCAAGAACGACTCCTGAGGCAGGGTCAGCCCCATGCCCGACCCCCAACTCTCCCCYCGCAGTCAATAAAAGGCAGATGCCAATGCCATGGTGGGTGCTGAGCGTCCTCTGCAGGGCAGAGCAGCCACCCCGAATTGGGGTGCCCAAGCAAGCCAGAGGGGCCGGCTGTGAGACCTGCAGGCAGCATGTGGTGATATCCTTCCTGTGCCRTGGGTGCCAAAAGGAATGTGGGACCCCCGCCCCCCTGGAGCCATAKCCAAGGGCAGGGCAGCAATGCTCAGCCTGCTGCAGGGCCATGTGGGGTGCTGGCAGGGGAGCACCTCCCACAGCAACAGGCAGGGGAGGCTAACTTGGGAATCACAGCTGCTGGGAAGGGGCAGTGGTGTTGAGGGCAGTGGGCAAACTGTTCCTTTTCTGCTCATGTGTGACGCCACCAGCAGCAGCTCAGTGCTGAGGAAGTTCAGCAACTTCCCTCTGCAGTGTCCACGYAGCCCCACACAACAGCTCCTGGCTCCAGTGAGACACAGTTCATGTCCCAGACACAGCTGAGCCACCAGCTCCGGGTTGGGAAAGGAGGACGGTCACTGCTGAGGGCTGGCACGCTCAGCTGACCCACAGCACAGGCTGCAGAGAGCACCCAGCCTGCCTGCACCCCAGTTTGGGCACTCAGGCTCAGCTCCCTGCACTGAAAGATGCAGTAGGGCCACCCCCTGCTCAGTCCTGGCCTGTGGGGTGCATTGCTCTCCTCCTCATGGTGCCAGGGGAACCAGCACCATTGGCCTCATGCCAGCCTTGAGCTCCTGCCTTCCTCTTCTTCTTCCCTCCAGAACACACTAGAGGGCTGTGCAGGATGAACCCCGCCTCTCCTCCTCACTGCAGGACACACACAGATCCTCCATCCCACACACAGACCCCCAGCCCACCCTGAACCCCAGTGCTGGTGACGAGGTGACCTCCCTGAGCACAGGGACATGCCGACGTGCGGGAGCAGCACGGGACTTTTCACTTTTATTATAAAAATATCTTGCAAGCAAAAAGAAAAAAAAAAAAACAACAAACAAAAACAACCCCAAAGAAGTCTGTACAAGCAGTCACATTGCTCTTAAAGCACCCCCAAGGACCCCAGGTCCCCCCAGTCCCCCACATTTCCACTACTGCAGGAGCCAACACGGTGAGACCCCACATGGTGGCCCAGGTAGTGGGCACATGGAAGACATTTGTCCCCATGGGTGGGCTGAGGGGAGCCTGCCTGGCCCCCAAGACAGAGCTGTAGAAGGCCATAGAAGTCTCTCATAAACTCTGTAGGGTTTGGGGGGGGTTTCTTTACTGAGGCCTCGGTCTTAATTTTGCACATCTTATTCTAGTGTTAAGTACACAGCAGTACACCYACGTACAACACAAAACATTGGGGGTTTCAGCTCTAAAAATTAACAGTTACATGTCAAACAGTCAAAACATGTTACACGGTACCTGCGGGGAGCTCCCGGSGGGAGCCAGGCTGGGGGGGCCCCTCAGCAAGGCTGGGGGGGCCCTCGGACGCTTTGTACAAGCCTGGGGCAGCGCTGGTGGGTCCCAGTGCAGGGCAAGGCTGTGCACAGGACGATGATGATGAGGAGGATGCTCAGTGCTGGGGAGCCAGACCTGGAGCCCCCCTGGACGGCAGGATGGGGGCCTGGGCTCRTTGGCCTTCCAGCCTCTTGGCCACGGGGCGAGACGGAGGTCCCGCAGAAGGGACACTTGGGAAGAGAGGCGGACACATCGGTCCTTCCTTTAAAGCCAGAGTTTGGTGTCCAGGCGCGGTGGCAGAGCCCCAGAAGGCAGTGTGGGGGCCCTGCTGGTCCTGGGAGGCRTGGGCCAGGCAGTGGCATCCCCGTGAGAGCTGGTGTGGAGGCACTGTACCTGTCCCCTCAGCCCAGCCACAGCTTCCTACAGAGCTGCTGCTCTGCTGGCTGAATCTSCTCGTGGGCAAACCCGGCACACTGAGGTTGAGAACCCCCCATGGGGGGTCCCGAAAGGACGGAGCTGGTAGCCCCAGGACTGAACTGCCCCCCAAAATCATGTCTCTCTGTATGGGAGAAGACCCCCACAAGTATTGTGGGCTCCATTTCCACCCTAAAACAAAGGTACCGCATCTTCACATTGCTCCAGAGCTTCCAAGAGAAGTCYTGGGGAGAAGCAGAGCTGCTCCCCGCAGGACAGGGGGTCCCAGCAGCCACCGCTCACTTCCTGGGGATCTGGACGCTGGCGTACTCAGAGCCAGCCTCCTCGGGGCGYGGGGCCGGCCGCTTGGGCGCCTTGCTGAGGTGCACCATGTCCAGGTCRGCGTAGGTGAGGTTGTCGTCGCTGTTGGGCGCCTGGTTGGTCTGGATGCAGGCATACTCCGACTGCTGGCTCATCTCCACCATCCGGCGGATGGTCTTCCTCTCCTTGTCGAAGTTCAGGTCCGCGTAGGTCAGGTTGTTGGGGTCRGATTCCTGTGTGAGGCACCAAGAGTTCCTCCTCTGGGAAGATTCTTGGAGGAACCCACCCAAGCACCAACCCACGGCCCCATGCTGGAGTCAACTCCACTGCAGCTTGGCCAGGGACACCTCAGTCCCTGCTTGGATGGGGGGAACAATGCCAGCAGCCACCACCCCACAGCCACGCTCCACCCCATGCTACAGCTCCAAATCACGACCCCCCTGGCCCCCTGTCCTGGCTTTAGAGCCACTGCCACAATTCCACAGGCACCACTGAAGCCACTCCATCACCCCATCCCGGCAGGGCCAGCCTGCCCAAGCGATGCCCACGTGGGAGCTGGCAGAGCCTGGGTGGGATGGACAGATTGCTGCTGATCACGACTTTGCTCRTGGCTGCGTCACCAAATGCAAAACAACTCCACAAATAGCCGGGCTGGCTATCGCACAGCTGGCTCTCCAGGCAGCACAAACCCAGACTGTACTGGGAGGAGAAGGAGGAGGAAGAGGAGGAGAGGGAGGATAAAGGCCGAAAAGATTCTGGGAAGTGGCCACCTTCTTCCTGGGGCAGCTTCCCTTCCAC